CACACACACACATACACATCTTTTCATTTTGCTTCAGTTTCTCCCGCTGTGTTCTTTTTCTTTTGTTTGGAAGTGTTCAGACCTAATCGTCTATAATGAGTACACTCCACTCAGTCTATTCACAAACCTTTGCTTGTGCCAGGGCAAGGGGAACTGGGGGGTTTGGAGTTGGGGTTGGCCAGAAAAGGGAAAAGAGAGTGAAGGAACGAGGCATGTTTATGCTTTGTTAGCCTTTGATTGTAGGTTGGACCTTGTATGTTGTTGACAATGTGCTTTGTGAAGAGTAACATTGTGCTTTCAGTTTAGCCCAGGCACTGCAATCATCTTCCCCAGCGTTGGTCTAGTAGTCAAAGAAGCCAGTTGATGCAGGCTTGAGTGAAATAGTTGTGTAACTTTTTCATAACAATCAACAATTTATAGTACTGCTGGTACTCAAGTTATCATATTGCCTCAGAGCTGGATTGGTGATGCTTCCACTTATATGATTTTCTTCTCTGGAACCATTTTCTACTGGAAGCTGGTTAACTATTTATACTCTCAGTGGAATAGTAAAGGGAGTATGTTCTTGAAGTGTGCTCTACTGTCCTCGTGTTTTTCTATAGGTTCCTCTATACTATGTCTCTGTGGTCCTGTCTTCCTGTAATAATACTGTGTATGCATCCAACCAGGGAAGTACCAAAAGACAGTCTTTGTTTAAAGGGGTAATTCCAGATTTTGCTTATTTTGTTTCCATCCTAGCTACTAAGCAATTATCATTGTAAATAATCGGTTTCCAGAACTGTAACATATATTTTCGAGCATTTTCTATTCATTAAATTTAAGTTTCTGCCTTTTTTTTAAGCACAGATCCATCTACAGCCAAAAGTTAGCAGTACTGGAGAAGCATATGAAGAAAAAGCATATGGTAAAAACAACAGATGGGAAGAGAAGTCAGAGCCTAAGATTCGTAGGACTACACTGGCCAACCTGATCGACTGTAAAACATTTTACAACTCTGTGGGGTTCTGAGGATGAAACGCTGAAAGAATGCAAGACAGACAGAAAGAGTATACATATGGAAGCACAAGTCAAGGTTTTTTGAGATACGACAATGGGTGGTTGAGAATGAGTTAAGATCCTGTGGTCCTTCCAGACAAACCAGCTGGACATTGGTAATTGACGAGGAACAGAAAGTGGAGCGAGTGGTAGTTTGAGCTGTCCTGAAGTGACAGCAATATCAATAAGAAGGAATATGAGAAGCAGGAGAAATACCAGTGAAGGCAAAAGTGATCCCAATAGTACAGGCATGTGACGCTGTGAACATAAATTTAGGAGATTCCAGTCACCAAAAGACTGCAACTAAACCCGACCTGATTCTGTCAGGAGTTTTGTTCCAAGCACTTTTGTGGGTGGTTTAATTCTTTCTTTTAGGGCTTATGCACTTAAATTCCCTTGGACTCTTAATTTCTGACAGTATTCGCTTGTATTTTGCCATAACACACCGTGCGAGGCTATTCCTTCGACCCACCTTTGAAGGATCCTACCACTAAATTGTGAAGCCACTATACTTCTATGGCCTTTCCCTTAATGCCACCATCAAGTGGCATTAAGGGAAAGGCCATACATAAATGAAGTCAGACTTCATTTATGTATGCAAATGTTCTGTGTAGATCACAGAAGCTCTAACTGGAGAGAATCTAACGTGTAATGTGAAAAGGGTTGCTTTTAGTGAACCAACAGAGGATTATTAACAGGAACATTAACAGTTCCCCTCAGGTCTGCGGAGCATTTAGCATCTTTCAGCTTATTGTTTTGGTTTATGGCCCACCACTTTACTGTTTCTGATTCACTCTCACAGCAGGCAGGAAGCTTTACTGTACACTACCTGCCCAACGCCAAACGACAGACAGGACAAGTTGGCGACTAGCTGGTGAAGATGGTGAAAAATAAGAAAAGTCTGAAGCATACTGAGTCCCTCAGGAGAATTATTAGTTCTCTAGTTCAGTTGTGCAATATGGTGCAATTGTAATACTAAGGTGCTTATGTGCTGCCTTGGAAAATTTTGTAAAGTGGGTTTCCATCAATTCCTCTTTCAATGGTTGAAATGGGCTGCCAATGTGGGACAACCATTAAAAATGTAATCTAGCCTTTAACCCACTTCACTGTTTCCTCATTGATTCTGTACATCATCTGCTGAATGCCTTGAGATGCCTTGTGCCACGAGATGAAACATTTTGTAGGGAATGTTTGAAAATGGTGGGAATTTCCCAAATAGGAGAATCTCTCCTCCCTCTCTTGTTCCTTTTGGATAAATAAACTATAGGAAGGCTAGGGTGCAGTCCCGCCCTTAGACTACACAAAAGTCTAAGGGCGAAAGACTTTGTAATGTACAGTATGTACCAGCAGGTGTATATATGTATAGTACAGAATATTTAAGTCAACCTCCACAACAAAGACTGTGTGTGTGTGTGTGTGTACGTGTGTGTAAGCAGGTTACCAGTGCATCCACCTGTTTATCATTCTCTCTGCTCTCATTCCCATTGAACTGTTGGATCAGTGTGACCCACAACCCAGACACCACGGTAGACATTAAAGCTACCTTTGCTCCCTAGGAGACTGGACCCAGACATTTGTTTGTTTGCACTTCAGGGTACGCAGTGTCTCTGTTGGATCATTGTGGCTCGTTATGTTTTAACGCTGGATGGATATTACACCACAGGCCAGAACTATCCACTTTGATCCACTTTTTGATCTGCTTAATCACCATGAGAAATCTTATAGAGCGTTTCTGAAGTGCATGATGCAAATAAAGACACAATAAAGAGTTACATAAATTTATATTAATAGCTAATCACATCAGGTGGTGGAGGGTCACAGAGAGGCATTTCCAAAAAAAGTAGTGCTCACAAAGGCTTTCTGTTTTTACTTTTGCAGTTTTTTTTCTGCTGTTTGTCTTTTGGAAATTACATTTTCACGTGTGGATACAAAATTCTAAAGTAGCACACGTTTACATGCGGTTGGCAAACAGTCAGAGAAATGAGGCCAAACAAGATGGTTTGCATGCATAAAGGCATTGTTGTTGCTTAGCGATCCCTATTTAATTTTCATACAATGACTTCCATATGCAAAAAAAGGAATGCATTTTAAAAAGGAAGCATTGATTGTTTTTTCAGTTTTCTCATCTTTCTCATCTTTCTCCTGTAACAATATTTATTTCCCGTAGTATTTACACTACAGTTGTTTGACTGTGTAACACTAAGAGTGAAGTTCCTTCGAGGCAAATTCTTGAGTTGCATCTATGATGTGGGTTTACTGTTGAAGGATTACACGTGACAAAATAAGTTGGTGTACTGTTTCCATACAAGAAAGGGAATCCATTTCTCATTGTTTTGTCCATGTGTTAGTTGCATTGCCCAGAACTGTATCCTGTATATATATTCTATGTTGATTCACAGCACACAGTGGATTTTATGTTACATGAACTTTGATTCTTGCTTGCTGTACAAATGGGTATAAGATTGTCTTTTATTTTAGTGTAGGGGAGAGCTAGAACATACATGCTTTCCACGTTTCTGATGATAAATTCTCTCTCCTCTCTACTTCCTCTCCAGCCTGGGTCGGAGCCCTGGCCATGGGCATGATCTTTTTCTGTTCACCTGTGGTCAGCATGTTCACAGACCGCTTCGGCTGTAGGAAGACAGCTGTCGGCGGCGCAGCGCTGGCTTTTATAGGGCTGCTCAGTACATCCTTTGCAAAGTAAGCTGCTGTACATTTATTAAAGACATCACTTGTTCTCGCCCCGCTAATGTATTTAGGGCTGCCCATTACTAAAGCTTTTCCTAGTCGAGTTGTCACATGTTTACGATATTAATTTAATTATTTAAATGCACATATATATATATATATTTTAACAGCTGCTTGTTAAATGTTAATAGGAAATATGGTAATGACTCTGAATGTGTCAGAACAAGGAGACTGAATGCTTTGTTACTTTATTTCAACACAGTATAGCATTACACAGGTCGCACTGATCAAAATAACTTCCAACTTCACAAAACCAAATACTTTATCAACACGATGGATGATTTATAATGTTACAGTTTACAACATAACAGTTACTTACAAATAAATTTGCTACAAACTTGCTCCTCTGCTGTTTCATGTGTTTCTCTGTTGTATAAATGAAGGAAAGACATTTCCAGCTACAGTCTTTTCTTTAGATTAGGAAACAGAGTCACACCTTGGGAAAATGCGTGTTTTCCAGTCAGATTGTTAGAAAAAGCATACTGTACTCCCTATTTGTAACTGTCTTGTTAAAGTAGTAGATTTAGAGTTAATTCACACCTTATTTTGGAACCCTAGGCCATTTTCCACCTTTTTGTGCTATTTCTGACACTTGCAGCAGCTGAACAGAGCCAGAGATAACACAAAGAACAACAAGATACAATAATGAAAATAAAGCTATACTATAAGGTCAGGAAGCTGCCTTAACTCAGTCCAAACTTTGGTTATTTAATCGTCTACAAAAATCAGATATGAGCAGCCAGAATGACATGCCATTTAATGGTTTTCTTAAAATAAATAAGATAGAATAGAAATTGTTGCTCGGCAGGTGCAGTACAATATAAGGAAGTATGAGAAAAGTGCAAATATCAATAAAAAGATATCAAACATCAGCAAAATCCAAAATATGCACAATGCCGAAAATATAAACAGTACTCTAGCTAACATTTCACTAAATGAGTCTGATTATAATTTTTTGCTTGTTTATGTTTATGCATTAATTAATGTCACAGCAAAACAAATGGTCATATAATAACTAAAGCATTACTCCTCTTTGCTTTTTCTTTTCTGTTGCAGCTCCCTGAGCCTTCGCTATTTCACATATGGCATACTGTTCGGCTGTGGCTCCTCCTTCGCCTTCCAGCCCTCGTTGGTCATTCTCGGCCACTACTTCCGCCAGCGCCTGGGCCTGGCCAACGGTGTGGTGACAGCCGGTGCCAGCCTCTTCTCCATGGGCCTCCCAGTTTTCCTCAACAAGGTGGTGGAACCTCTGGGCCTCAGCAGGACCTTCCAGATCCTCAGCCTCTTCATGCTGGTCCAGGCCCTGCTGGCGCTGATGTTCAAACCTTTACTGCCTGCTGGAGGAGGAATGGGACCCCCAGGCATGGGTCCTGGCCCTGCCAATCCCCAAACACAGTCAGGGGCCACGGCTCAAGCGGGGAGCAGGTGGAGCAGGGTCCTTGGTGGGGTCAGGAAGTACTTCAACCTGCGTGTTTTTCACATTGTGACATATCGAGTGTGGGCGTTTGGAGTTGCCACAGCTGTACTGGGCTACTTTGTGCCATATGTTCATCTGGTAAGAAAAATAAAGGGAATGATAATGATACATTTTCTACATCTAAAAAAAGACTATTTAATATTTTGAAACAGTCTTAGTTTCTTGCATATCACCAGTGCAAAATCAGCTAGCTATGTTAGATTTTGTTTATATATTTGACAACTGTTATGGAAGATCATGCGTATACTATATATTATGCGATACTAAGCTTTGTGTACTTAACAGTCCTCCATTCATCTCAGTGTGCTAAAACATTACTTTATATGGAATACATACCATAACATTCTCATGTATTTGTGGTATGTGACTGTGAAAATGTAGGAATCCTGACCTCTTTATTGATATTATGGGATTATATAAACAGCATTATGGTGTTGATTAGTCAGAGTTGTATAATCATGTATCTGTCATCTACCAGTTCATTTGTTTTTAACCATTTTTGCATAGAGGACAGAACAACACAGATTTGCTTTCCTGCCCAAACTTAGTATGTAGTATGTTAAGTTTATCTGACTTACAAGCACATTAAACAGCATGTGAATATACCTGCAAATGTCACTTAATACTGTTTAGATGCTGGTTTGGTTCTTACTCTTTAATACCACTGCTAACAACAAACTAGCTGCCCATGGTTTAAGCTACAGCACAAGTTTATTTCCTTTGTTTGTCGTTCCGTTGCCAGGGCTTAGTCTGCCAACTTCAGTCCTTATTTTTGACTGCAAATGTGATTTCTGTCGAACATCATGATGAAAAAATAAGTCCAATCACTCCCAAGTAAAAGCACATCTTTCCACGATGAATATAATTAGCAACGTCTGCATACGACCCATGGCCGACTTTGGTGTGAGATAGTGAGATAGTGAAGGATGAAGATGAAGTGTAATGCTGCAGCGTGCAGCTGTAAAGTTGATATCCCTCTATCCAGATGTCGGATGTTTCAGCTCCGGCCTCCCTCTGTCAGGCCTGTTGTTTCAGGCCCGGGCCCAGATGTAAACACAGCCCCGGCCTTTGTATTGGCTCGACCACCTCAGGAAATCTCTCCTGTATGGCCTCTCTGTATCCCTAAACATGCCTATCCTATGGCCATTGATGAATGTAGAGCCCTTCAAAGCAGAGCAAATATTTCACAAGGACCATCTTGTTCAGGAAAGACTTCAGAGGGCGGTTTAATGTTTTGGATCTGATTCGGGGGTCAGGGCTGAGGGGAGTGGGAGGGTCTGACCTACTGTATATGCGTTGGTTCTTCCTGTCCTGCTGTTCCAGAGGTCTGTGGATGAAGACATTTTGTTATTGTGAGACCTTGGCTTCAGGGTTATGGATAGACAATTCCTCTACTCCACCAAATACACACCCATTTGCTGAGTTCAATGACTTCTTAGGCATGGAGCTCAAAAACATATGAAGTTCATCAGCAGGTTGTGTGATACCTTTGCCAGCCCATTCATTATTGGTAGCTTCTGCTCAGTTTCTTGCAGCACAATCACATCTAACCACCAAACACACTGTTGTTCTTTCCGTGTCTCAGATCAACTTTGTGAAGGAGCAGTTCAAGGACACCCAGAAGGAATGGGTGCTCCTCGTCTGCATAGGAGCTTCATCCGGAGTGGGACGCCTCGCTTTCGGCAAAATTGGCGACCTCATTCCTGGTCTTCAAAAGATCTACATGCAGGTGAGGAAATGTATGAAATGTGGGTTGTCCACTTTTTCTTTAATGTTTTCCATGTTTCTGTAAAAACTCATGGTATGTATGCCCTGGCTCGAACAAATATGATTGAATATCTGAGTTATCCAAAACACTATAAAATTAAACTTATCCATAGCATCCCCCGGAATCATATATTGAGATGCCATTTTTGTTGTTGGGAACATAGATTAGTTTGCAATACAAGCAAAGAGCGACATCTAGGGCAAACCCTCTAGCCAGCCAGAGAAATTCAAGCTGAAATAACCAGTAGTACCTCCTTGATGCTGGAAGATTTTGTCGTTTAATATCGCATGCGCTGAGAAGGGGATGAAAGGCACAGCAGTTCAGAGCAGTTTGAGAGGTGAATACAAAGAGGATTTGTCAGTTCTTGCTGTTGTAAATGTACTTTTTTCTGAATGCAAACACAGATAATTCATTGGCTGCGTTGGCCTGAGCCACCTCACTCAATCTGGATGGTGTTAATCAAGCGTGTTGTTCAGCAGAGGGAGATGGAGATAAATTAATTCAAATTTAAAAACCTTGGGCGACATGCATCATCATGTCTGTGTGATATTAAAACACAAAAAAACTAGTTTTTAATGCTCCTTTGCCAGTATTAGACAGTTATATTGTGCAGAGATAGTGTTTTCCATTGAAAAGGAGAATTTGTTTACAGCACGCTGCTCAATAATTTCTCTCCTGTTGCCATAATAAAGAAACTGCCTGTGAGAATCTTTTATAGATAAAAAGGCTTTTCTCCAGAGTTGAACTTTCTTGTACAATGTGGTACTTGTAAAGGGTTTTAAAGTAGCTTTTAGTTCGTTGTTCAGGCACAGAACCCTGCTTTACATTTCACAGTATTAAACTCATGAACTCTGAGCTAAGTGTAATGGTTGACCACTTAGATTTGCACAAACAGGCAGGCAGCCTTCGGTAGCAGCTGACAAAAACACAAAGCACTAAATTCCTCAGCCTATAGCACAGAGGTTATTTAGTTAGTTATTGAGATGTATAAACATTCTTTATATTCCTTTAGCTTAGTTATATCTCCACATAGCATGTAAAAATAATCAAACAGCAGACAGTACCAGCCAATGTCAAGCTGAGCTGAAGTGGCAGCTACAGTAATCTAAATATCAGCACTTGTTGATATTTTGTAATAATAAAGTCAGTTTATGTCAGGGACAATATTTTCCAGCATTTTCCAGCACTTTCAGATCCTCTTCTGTTTGGCTAGCTGTTGACAGGCGAATCAGCTCATCTTTGGCACATTTTTGAATATGTAGCTTTAGTCTTAACGGTAGCTGGAGGGTGTACTCTGTCGCACAAGTAACAGAATGTTCACAATGAGGTAAAAATGCCTGGAGGCCAGTTCTTCTTGTACAAACAGTGATGGAAAGGATAGAAAATGCGCCAACTGAAAGCAGGTAATTCTCCCCTCTCGTATTGCTTCTCTTAGTCATGGCATGGCATTTAACAGTAATAAGAGAGGGAGTTAAAGCCTGTTAATGCGTTCTCACTGTCTGTTTCAGGTGGTGTCCTTCATGGCTCTGGGCCTGATGTCTATGATGATTCCTCAGTGCTCTGTGTTTGAGGGGCTGGTGGTCGTGTGTGTGTTCCTGGGGCTGTGCGACGGCTGCTTCCTCACCATGATGGCTCCCATAGCATTCGAGCTGGTCGGGCCCATGCAAGCTTCGCAGGCCATAGGCTACCTTTTAGGCCTTATGGCTCTTCCCATGACAGCCGGTCCACCCATCGCTGGTGAGAAGGCTCTTTTCCTGTGTTTTTTTTGGCCCGGTTTTTGCCACAATACAGCACTGATTTATACTGTATAATCCAGAATGAGCTTGCTGTGATCTGGCTCCTTGCACTGTCTTCAGGATGTTGGCAGTAATCGCGCACAACAAGTTGATTGATATCAGCAGAGTAAAGATAAAACAAATGTAGGGAGTAAAAGGGAGAGCAAGACAAATGTGTGGCAGGATGGATTGTACAGCAGATTGTATTTAGAGAGGTTTGGGCTTGAGGCCAACTGCAGGCTGTCTCTGGGGATTTGTCTACCAGGAAATAAAAGCACATACAGGGAGTGCTCAACTTGCTTTATGTCTCCTCTACCTCCTCCCTCTCTCCCCTCCTCGTTCTTTGCTCCAGCTCTCTGATAAGTGTATAGAAGAGCACTGAGAGCAGAACATTAATTTGATGACTCAGGAACCCCCATGCTCTGTCTTGCCAACCTCTTTCTTTCAGATTCTGGCAGTTGTTATTAATGCTTTGAGATATTTGTCCAAACTAAAACTCTCAAGCTGTTAAATTCGTAAAAACAGGCTCTCATACATTTTTTTTTATTTCAAGATGTTATGGATTATGTATCTGGACAAAGCAATATACTGATATTTATTAATTGCATATCCAAACCTATGTCCTCGCAGGAATAACCATGACGATATAGTATACTAGTTGTTTAGCTGACAACATTAATCTGTTAAACTATTTTGAACTGTTGAACAAAAAGAAACCATTTACAGATGTCACCTAATTTGTGGATTAAATGTATTATTTCCATTATTTCCAAAAGCCAAAAACATTCCTTTCACAGTATTCAACTGGTGTTCGCATTTGTGAGTGTGTGATAGTCAGGCAGCAGAAGCATTAAGGCTGTAAGGAGTTTTGTTTAGAGGAAGAAAATGCAATTACCTTGTGCTCCCTCTTGTTGTTCCCTACAGTTTCTGCTCATTTTATGTCTGAAAGGGGTTTTTCTATTTGTTTGTGACTCCCATCTCTGTCATATAATAGGATTAATGCCACTGAGACTAACTAGATAAATTATTGCATATGCTTTCAATTTTTCAATGTTATCTTCTGTAGTTAAACCAAATGTGTAATTTATGTGTGAAGTACTGCACAGGGAAATTAGATATTCAATTGAATATTGGCAACTTGGCTCCTCAAAGTCTTAATGAGATTATCGCTGTGTCAACATGTGTTCAGTACAGTCTGTACAGTCCTGTACATACATTGCATGCAACAATGTGTAAGTGTACACCCCCCCCCCAACTCCTCCCAC